GGGATTGACCGTCACATTATAACGCCCCCACGGCTGAAAGGGCGAGCATGTTTGGTGGAACTGGGAATTTTTTGTAAGAATGTAACGGATTCTCTTATATAAACCAAATAGTCTTTAATGCCATACTTCGTCAACCTACGAACAAAACTTGTGCAAAAAATATTCTGGAAATCAAACGAACAAGTTCGTCTCATTTCAAGAAGACTTTTTTACAAATTTCAACAAATGTTAAGAGAAATTGTTATTCACGTAATATGATTATGAGGTTAAATCGATAACTACATTAATTAATAATCAGCAACTTAAATCAGCCACCTGTGTTATTGATTATCAGGTTCTGCTGGCCGACTATGTTAATCATTATCAAGTTAAATTAACTTGAATATTTTAATAATTATGAAATTAAATTGGCCAACTATTTCAATGATTACTATGTTAAATTGGCCGACTGTGTTAACGATTATCAGATTAAATTGGTTCACCATGTCCATGACTATGGCGTTAAGATGGCCGACAGTGTTCATTAGTGACAAAATATTTCATTGTAATTACGCCACTGTGTCCACTGTTAGGTTTCCTCTAAGTTACTTTCAAACTGATTACCTTTCACGATTTCCTTCTAATCGTCTGCATTCATGATTTGGATATAAAAGAATCTCTATAGTTATATGTAATAATTGATCTTCCATTCCAGAAGCATGCAGTGATATTTCCATTAACTTGCGCAGTCTTTCTGCACTTAATTACAAGATCCGAGAGAGGAGGCGAATGATAGATTGCACGTAGTATTGATAGTTACGCCAGTGTAACCGTCTTTTTTTCTACACTTTCTACGCTGTACAGTAAAAGAAGTTTTACATCATCAGTAATTTTCAATTGAACAAACGCTGTTACCTTTCCTTTCTCACGAGCATTTGATTCATAAATGTATAAGTATTACTCTTGTCGTGCTCATAATATAAAACAACAAAAAAACACAACTTCTGGATAGATACAAAATGTTGAAGTTAATTACTAAACAAGATATTAACATTAAACATTTTCAGCCGCAATTCGTCTGATTTGAGTTCTCGAAGAGGATCACAGTTTAATTAAAGTCCAAATGGCTTTGATCAGTTTTCGCTTTAAAACAATTGGTTTGAAAGTATTATAAGCTATTGTTTCTCCTCTTTCCTTCCTAAGATAAGAGATATTTGGACAAATCAAATTGTTAAACTTGTTATCAAGACATAAAATCATGTCCAAAGTATGTTTCTCTTGTGTTTGTGATATTTATCTGGTTGATATACTTTTGTTGGTAAAAATTAAGATATTCTTGGGATACGTTTATTTTATCACTATGTCCATGACTATGGCGTTAAAATGGCCGACTCTGTTCATTAGACACCACTGAACATTATATTTTAAAATGGCATATGATTTATATATTATACATATATATTAGTGTACTTGCAAAAACTGTGAAACTGAAGTACTATTACAATGGCTTAATTACAGATAACATTATCAGTGGAGAATAATTGAAATTCAAACTTTCAATCTGAGCGGCACACTATGTGACACATGGGCTAAATGGCCGGGTCAGAGGCCCCAAGAGCTTAGCTATAATTGTGCCTAGTTTTAAACTACTGACTCAAGGTAGAGTATCCAGTCAGTAGCACCCACCGTCACAGGTGCACTGTCACTTTAATAACGGAAACACAGTCAAATATGCGGAATGCTAAATAGCAACATGACTCAAACCTCGTAGTCTTTAATCTGTAGCTTTGCTGGCAAACCATTAGGCTAAGCACGGCTTCACTATGTGAATAATGAGCGTTTCAGGTTTTGACATATTGAATTTTGAATTCTATGCGTTAAAATACTATTAGATATTCGAAATAACCTTTTAGATGTAGTAGAATCCCGTGAATTATTAATGATTTACTTTTTTCATCTTTATGCAATTTAGAGACACATTTCACA